GTGCGCGTGGTCTTCGTGGGGCACTCGCTGGGCGGGGCGGTGGCGCTGCAGGCGGCCGAGGCGGCGCCGCCCTGCTTTGATCCTCTCGCCGCCTGCCCGCGCTGCCGCCGCTGCCGTCGCCGCCGCCGCGTCCGCCGTCGCCGCTACCGTCGCCGCCGCCGCGTCCGCGTCGCCGCTGCCGCTGCCGCCGCTGCCGCTGCCGCCGCTGGCGTTGCCGCCGCCGCCGCTGCCGCTGCCGCCGCCGCCGTTGTGTCTTCGGCACTGCCGCCGCCGTCGTGCTCGCACGCGAGGAAGCTAGGTCGATGTCGGTGCCTCTCTCTCTAGTCGCCACGGCTGGATTTGCCTCGACACTTTGGTGGGAACGCGCCGCGAGAGACGTCTGGGGAGTAGCCGTCTCGTCACCTATTGGTCCTTCCAGTTTCCGCCTTTGTTGTTTTTGCCGCCGTCGCCATCGTTGTTGCCATCGGCCATCGGCGTTGCCGTCGGCGTCGCTGCTACCGTCACCGTCGCCGTCGCCAATCGCCAATCGCCAACCGCCCTCGCCAATCGCTGACATCGTCGCCGCTCTCGCTGTCGTCGCTGGCGCTGTCGACGTTGCTGCGCTGTCGCCGCCGCCGTCGTTCTCCCCGCCGTCGCTGTCGTCGTCGCCGTCGGCGTCGTTGTCGGGGTCGCTGCTACCGTCGCTGCTACCGTCGCCAATCGCTATATAACCGCCCACGCCAATAGCTGGCATTCTCGCCGCTGTCGCTGACGGCGCTGTCGGCGCTGTCGGCGCCGCCGTCGTTCTCCCCGACGTCGCCGTCGTCATTGCCATCGGCGTCGTTTTCGGAGTCGCTGCTGACGTGGCCGTTGCTCATCGCCAACCACCTTTGCCAATCGCTGGCATCCTCGCCGCCGGCACTGTCGTCGCCGACGCTGTCGGCGCTGTCGCCGCCACCGTCGTTCTCCCCCCGTCGCCGTCGTCGGCGTCGCTGTTGATGTGGCCGTCGCCGTCGCCCACGCCAACCGCCCACGCCAATCGCTCTGGCATCCTCGCCGCCGTCGCTGTCGTCGTGTCGGCGTCGCTGTCGGCTTTGTCGCCGCCGCCGCCGTCGTTCTCCTCACCGTCGCCGTTGTCGTCGCCATCGGCGTCGAAGTCGGCGTCGCTGTTGACGTGGCCGTCGCCAATCGCCAACCGCCCTCGCCATTCGCTGGCATCCTCGCAGCCGTCGCTGTCGTCGCCAGTACTGTCGGCGTGGCTGTCGGAGCTGTCGCCGCCGCCGTCGTTCTACCCGCCGTTGCCGTCGTCGTCGCCATGGGCGTCGTTGTCGGCGTGGCTGCTACCGTCGCCAATTGCCAATCGCTGGCATGCTCGCCGCCGCCGCTGTCGTCTCCAGCAGTGTCGGCGTCGCTGCCAGCGCTGTCGCCGCCACCGTCGTTTTCCCCGCCGTCGCCGTCGTCGTCGCCATCGGCGTTGTTGTCGGCGTCGCTGTTTGCCGTCTCCAATCGCCCCTCGCCAGACGCCCTCGCCAATCGCCGGCATCCTCGCCGCCGTCGCTCTCGTTGATGGCGCTGTAGGCGTCGCTGCCAGCGCTGCCGCCGCCGCCGTCGTTCTCCCCGATGTCGTCGTCGCCATCGGCGGTGTCGTCGGCGTCGCTGTTACCACTCGCCCACCTTCCACGCCAATCGCTGGCATCCTCGCCGTCGCCGCTGTCGTCGATGGCGCTGTCGGCGTCGCTGCCAGCGCTGTCGCCGTCGCCGTCGTTCTCCCCGCCGTCGCCGTCGTCGTCGCCATCGGCGTCGTCGTCGGCGACGCTGCTGCGGTCGCCAATCGCCAGTCGCCCACCGCCCACGCTAATCGCTGGCGTCCTCGCCGCCCTCGATGTCGTTGCCAGTGCTGTCGGCGTCGCAGTGGGCGCTGTCGCCGTCGTCGTCGTCGGCGTCGTCGTCGCCGTCGTCGTCGTCGGCTTCGCTGCTACCGTTACCGTCGCCAATCGCCAACCGCCCACGCCATTCGCTCTGGAATCCTCGCCGCCGTTGGTGTCGTCGCCGGCGCTTTCGGCGTGGCTGCTGGCGCTGGCGCCGCCGCCGTCGTTCTCCCCGACGTCGCCGTCGTCGTCGTCGCCATCGGCGTCGTCGTCGGCGTCGCTGTTACCGTTACCGTTGCCACTCGCCAACCGCTCACGCCAATCGCTGGCATCCTCGCCGCCGTCGCTGTCATCGCCGGCGCTACCTCCGTCGCTGTCAGCTCTTTCGCTGCCGCCGTCGTTTGCCCTGCCGTCGCCGTCGTCGTCGCCGTCGGCGTCAACCGCCCACGTCAATCGCTGGCATCCTCGCCGCCGTCGCTGTCGTCGCCGGCGCTTTCGGCGTGGCTGCCAGCGCTGGCGCCGCCGCCGTCATTCTCCCCGACGTCGTCGTCGTCGTCGCCATCGGCGTCGTCGTTGGCGTCGCTGTTACCGTTACCGTCGCCGACCGCCAACCGCCCTCGCCAATCGCTGGCATCCTCGCCGCCGCCACTGTTGTCGCTGGTGCCGTCGGCGTGGCTGCCAGCGCTGTCGCCGCCGCCGTCGTTATCCCCGCCGTCGTCGTCGCCATCGGCGTCGTCGTCGGCGTCGCTGCTGTCGTTATCGTCGCTGTCGCCAACCGCCCACGCTAATCGCTCTGGCACCCTCGCCGCCGTCGCTCTCGTCGCAGGCGCTGTCGGCGTCGCTGTCGGCTCGCTCCCCGCCGTCGCCGTCGTCGTCGCCAGCGGCGTCGTCGGCGTCGCTGCTGCCGTCGCCAATCGCCAACCGCCCTCGCCAATCGCTGGCATCCCTGCCGCCGTCGCTGTCGTCGCTGGCGCTGTCGGCGTGGCTGTCGGAGCTGTCGCCGTCGTTGGCGTCGTCGTCGCCGTCGTCGTCGCCATGGGCCGTTGTCGGCGTCGCTGCTACCGTTCCTGTCGTCGATCGCCAGACGCCCACGCCGTTTGCTGGCATCCTTGCCGCCGTCGCTGTCGTCGACGACGGAGCTGTCAGGGGCGCTGCCGGCGCTGTCGCCGCCGCCGTCTTTGTTTCTGCCGTCGCCGTCGTCGTCGCCATCGGCGTCGCCGTCGGTGTCGCTGCTGCCGGCGCCAATCGCCAATCACCCACGCCAATCGCCAGCATCCTCGCCGCCGTCGCTGTCGTCGCCGGCGCTTTCGGCGTGGCTGCCAGCGCTGGCGCCGCCGCCGTCATTCTCCCCGACGTCGCCGTCGTCGTTGCCATCGGCGTCGTCGTCGGCGTCGCTGTTACCGTGACCGTCGCCAACAATCGCCAACCGCTCACGCCAATCGCTGGCATCCTCGCCGCCGTCGCTCTCGTCGCAGGCGCCGTCGGCGTGGCTGCCAGCGCTGTCGCCGCCGCCGTCGTTCTCCCCGCCGTCGCCGTCGTCGTCGCCATCGGCGTCGTTGTCGGCGTCGCTGCTTTCGTTATCGTCGCTGTCGCCAACCGCCCGCGCCAATCGCTGTGGCATCTCTGCCGCCGTCGCTCTCGTCGCAGGCGCTGTCGGCGTCGCTGTCGGCTCTGTCGCCGCCGCCGTCGTTCTCCCCGCCGTCGCCGTCGTCGTCGCCAGCGGCGTCGTCGGCGTCGCTGCTGCCGTCGCCAATCGCCAACCGCCCTCGCCAATCGCTGGCATCCCTGCCGCCGTCGCTGTCGTCGCTGGCGCTGTCGACGTGGCTGTCGGAGCTGTCGCCGTCGTTGGCGTCGTCGTCGCCATCGTCCTCGCCATGGGCGTCGTTGTCGGCGTCGCTGCTACCGTTCCTGTCGTCGATCGCCAGACGCCCACGCCGTTTGCTGGCATCCTTGCCGCCGTCGCTGTCGACGACGGAGCTGTCAGGGGCGCTGCCGGCGCTGTCGCCGCCGTCTTGTTTCTGCCGTCGCCGTCGTCGTCGCCATCGGCGTCGCCGTCTGCGTCGCTGCTGCCGGCGCCAATCGCCAATCGCCAACCGCCCACGCTTTTCGCCGGCATCCTCGCCACCGTCGCTGTCGTCGCCGGCGCGCTCGGCGTGGCTGCCGGCATTGGCGCCGCCGCCGTTCCCCCCGACGTCGCCGTCGTCGTCGCCATCGGCGCCGTCGTCGGCGTCGCTGTTACCGTTACCGTCGCCAATCGCCAACGGCTCACGCCAATCGCTGACATCCTCGCCTCCGCCGCCGCTGTCGTCTCTGGTGCCGTCGGCGTGGCTGCCAGCGCTGTCGCCGCCGCCGTCGTTCTCCCCGCCGTCGTCGTCGCCATCGGCGTCGTCGTCCTGCATTCTCGAGAGGCAGGGGGGGGGGGGGGTTGGGGGAGGTTTTGGGGGTGACAACCCTGGGGTCGGCTGTCGGGCACCGCCGTCCGAGCTTGTGTATGCCTGGGGGCCAGCGATCGTGCCTCTTTAGCTAGCAGCCATTTCGGGGCGCGCGGCCGCCCCTCACACTCGACGCCCAAAGTCGCACTGCATACTCGCGCTTCGCACTCGCACTCCGCACTCGCCCCCGCACTCGCCCCCCGCACTGTGCGCCCACACTCGCACTTCATACTCGCACCCCGCACTCGCGCCCACACTCACCCCCCCCGCTTTGCGCCCACATGACACGAACGCGAGACGCGGGTCTACTCGGCGCACTAAGTCGGGGACGCCCACCCCACGGTCAATTCGCACTTCGCACTCGAGGAATCAGCTCGGACAACCAACTCGCGAAATCCATTCGGCACCTCCAATCGCGAAACCAAGGCGGCAACTCAACTTGCGAACTCAACTTGCGAACTCAACTCGGCAGGCCACCCCGCGAAATCAACTCGGCAAATCAACTCTGTAAATCAACTCGGCAAATCAACTCGGGAAATCAACTCGGCAAACCAACTCGGGAATCAACCTGGGAAATCAACTCGGGAAATCAACTCGGGGAACCAATTCGCACTTCGCAGCTGGAGTGGTAAGTCAACGCCCAAGAAGTCAACGCAAATTCAACTCGCCATCTCAGCGTTCCGTGCAAGCCAACTCCACAAATCAACTCGGGAAATCAACTCGGCAAATCAATTATGTAAACCAATTCTGTAAATCAACTCTGTAAATCAACTCGGCAAATTAACTCCTGCAAATCTACTCGGCAAACCAACTCTGTAAACCAACTCGGCAAGTCAACTCGGCAAATCAACTCTGTAAATCAAGTCGGCAAATCAATTCTGTAAATCATCTCGGTAAATCAACTCTGTAAAGCAACTCGGGAAATCAACTCGTCTAATCAACTCGGTAAATCAACTCGGGGTTTGGTGTGGATTGTGAGTGTGGGGTGCGAGTGTGTGCGTAGACTGTGGGCGTAGAGTGTGGTGTGTGTGTGTGTTTGTGTGTGTTTGTGTGTGTGTGTGTGCGTGCGTGCGTGCGTGCGTGCGTGTGTGTGTGTGTGTGTGTGTGTGTGTGTGTGTGTATGTGTGTGTGTGTGTGTGTGTGTGTGGCGGGAGTGGGCGTAGAGTGTGGGGTGTGAGTGTGAGGTTTGAGCGTGGTCGTGCAGTGTGGGGTGCGAGAGTGTGCGTAGACTGTGGGCGTAGAGTGTGGGCGCGAGTGTGAGAGGCGAGTATGGAGTGCGAGTGTCGGCATGGAGTGTGGGCGCGAGTGTGTCGGCGAGTGTGGGCGTCGAGTGTGGTGCGTTTCTGGCCTCGAGCTAGTGCTGGCCCCCAGGTATACACAAGTCCGAGCAGGAGGCAGGGCGAGGGGAATGAGGGAGGACGAGAGGAGGAGGAGGAGGATGAGGAGGATGAGGAAGAGGGATTTGATGATGAGGATCTTGTTCATTCTGCTGATGCTGATGCTGATGCTGATGCTGACGATTATGCTGTTGATGCTGATGCTGATGGTGATGCTGATGCTGATGATGATGCTGACGATGCTGATACTGATTGCTGATGAACATCATGATTATGATGATGCTGATGATGCTGCTGATGATGATGCTGACGATGCTGATACTGATTGCTGATGGTGATGATGATGCTGATACTGATGCTGATGCTGATGCTGGTGCTGGTGCTGTTGATGATGCTGGTTATGCTGTGGATGCTGCTCTTGATGATCGTGATGATGACGATGATGCTGATGATGGTGATGGTGATCGTGATGGTGATGGTGATTGTGATGATGATGATGCTGATCGTTTATTGGTGATTGGTTACTGGTGATTGGTGATAGGCAGTGATGGTGCTGATGACGACGCATCCGACGACGAAGACGACAGAGCCGACGACAAAGCAGCAGCCGATGATGCCGACAACGAAAACGACAACTGCAAACGGACGGCTTCGACCAAGAACATGCCGACGATACCTACGGCTTCTTTCTTGGGCAGTTTCGACGACGAAGACGCCGACGCAGCCGTCGACGTTGACGACAAGCAAAGACAGCAAGCCGCTGCTAACGACGACCAATCTGATTAAGGCCGACACCGACGACGGATACGTCGAAGAAGCCGACGCCGACGACTGCCAAGCCAACTGCGAAGCGGTCGACGATGTCTATACCGGGAGATGACGGCGTCGCCTCAGACGAAGACGAAGCCGAGGAAGAATGTCGATGACGATGCCGCTGCCGCCGACGACGCTCGCCGCCGCCGACGACGAAGACGACGTCGACGAAGCGGACGACGACGGCAATGGCTCCGCAGACGCCCTTCCAAAGAAAGCACGACGAGAGGCTTCTTCCAATGTTCGGCCCCTGGTGGCCCTTACCGGGCCCGGGGACCGTCAAAGACTACTCGACATGAAGAAGCGGCCCCGGGGGAAGGGTCCAGACTTCTGGGAGTCCACATTGCGAACAGAATGACGACGTCGGGGTCCTGGGTCCTGGTGTCCACCCTGGCTAGATTTTTTCGCCCCGCAGCTGCTCCTGACAGCCCCGGGAGCCCGCGGCGGCCCCCCCAGAGGCCAACATGCGGCCAAGCAGAGCTCTTCGAGCCTCGGCCGTCGCAACGGCGTCACAGGAGATGGTGGTGGTGGTGCCCCACGGGCGACGCCCCGCGCCCGCCGAGGTGGTCGCAAGGCACTTCGGTGCCGACGGCGAGGGTGGGCAGCAGATGGAGGGCCTGGAGATCGGCAGGCAGCAACCATACCCCATGCACCGATGTTGGCCAGGCCCATCCTGGACCCAGGACCGGTGTGCATGTGTGAAAATCTAGACATGTATGCGTATGCACATATACATATATATATATATATATATGTATATATATACATCATATGTATACATATATATATATATATATATATATACATGCATGCCTTCCTGCCCAAGCTCGGAGGGCGTATGCACCGATCCTGGGCCCAGGGTGATCCCAGCCAGGATCGGTGTAGGTGTACAGTCTTGGTGCCCTCCGACTGCAGGAGCGGGCCGTGGTGCGCATGGCAGGCGCGGCGCCCCCCGCCTCCGCGCGCCTCCGCGCGCCCGCGGTGCCTCGTCGGGCGCTTCCGCGGCGCCCCTCGCCGTGCGACGGCGGCCGCGACGGCGACGCCCACGACGACGACGACGCCCACGCCGAC